GTTGGTACTTGCAATGGGCATTGGGATTCCATTTGGCGCTCCTTTCTTCAGGTTTTGGCTCTGGAAATGGCCCAATAGGTGTGATCAAGCCTTGCACGTAAAGGCGATCAAAGGCCGCATCATAAGTCATTCCTATAGAAGTGTAAGTTCTTTTCTTCTTGGGCAATGGAGCATCAAGAGCTAACACTTCATTGAGATCAACTTGGCTTATATTGTTGGTAGGATTTTCGTGCTTAGAAGACGAAGAAGAAGGATGGTCGTTCTTCTTGTTTTTTCAAGTGTTATATTGTTACTACCGGCATTCTTTATTAGATCATCCTCGATATTGATGCCAATGTCATATACAGCTTCAAAAGTGCTTAAAGGAAGAAATTTGAGATGTTACTTGTACTTGTGAGTAAAATTTTGGATGAAGAGGCGAATCATCTCTTTTTCTTTGGGATGATCTACCAAAAGTGCAATTGTTTCCCTCCACCTGTTCAGATAAGCAGTGAAGCCTTCATTCTCTTTCTGTTTGAGAATGGAGAGTTCACGTTCAGAAGTTTTACTTTGAATGTTACACTTGTAACGTTTCATGAAACTGTCGGTGACATCTTGCCAAGTTGCAGTACGCTTGGCATCTAGGGAATAAAACCATTGTTGGCAAGCATGTTCTAAGGAGAGAGGGAACACCGTAGGGAATAGTGTTACGTCCAATCCCTTAAGAGCCATGGTTGCTGAGAACGCCTTCAAGTGGATTATTGGATTGTCAGTATGCTTGAACTTTGGAATATCAGTAGTGGAGAAATTTTCAGGGAGTCTGTCCTTCACATCCAAAGGAGTGGGAGGCCGCTCCACATAGATGAAATCCTTAGAAATCTTGCTCATTTGTTCTTTGATCTTGTCCATTGCAGCCGTAGTAACATTGTTTTGCTCTATTGTGTTGACTTTGGTAGTGAGTGCTTGTAACATGTTAGACATTGTCTCAATGAACTTGTTAATGTTCTCAATATCTTCCTTAGTGGCCATTGGGACAAACTGAAAGTAGTTTGAAGGTGATGAGTGACGTGGAGATTGCAAAATTCTCTTTAAACGCCTTTTAGGTCTAAGAGGTTAATGTAGTAATGACTCGAACCGTACCAATCTACCCCTGCTCCTTGACCAAGTGCTGTGAAATAAAACAACCGCACTTAATTTTTTGACACATTACTCAAGATAGGAAAAAAATAATCATTTGAAAATAGGTGAGAATAACTCTGATCCACTCATCTTTTATTATGACGGAAATGGGGGTGCATGAACCTAGTATACGATCATAAACGACATGGTGTATGACTCGAGTAAAAAAAAATAAAGAAAGTGTGTGGACTATACTTGACTCGTGAGTGATTAAGTGATTTTATAAGACTCGTGGTATGATCGTATGGCTAGACATGTGAAGAGTAACAAAAATGACTGACGCGAGGACCAAATTAACACGGAAGACTAAAAAAAAAGCTGACTGGACTTATTTCCTAGGCACCGTGACACGGCAAACTGTACCGTGTCATTGTACAAGCTGCCGTGACGTGGTGATTTTTTTTTGCTGGAATTCCACCGTGCCACGATGGAAACTGCCGTGACACGGTGGACTTTCCCATGGCACGGCGGATGCGGTGATTTTTTTTTTGCTGGAATTCCACCGTGCCACGGTAGAAACTGCCGTGACACGGTGGACTTTCCCGTGGCACGGCGGATGCTGACGTGGCACGATAATTTTTTTTATTTTGCGCTAATTACTAAGTGAGTACGGTCCATTGAAAATCGTTAGTCATAAAATAATCCACCATAGACAAAGAAAGATTGTTAAGGTTAGGATCAAAACGATCAAACATAAAACACGTAGGCACAATGATGCAAAGAATAGTTCGCAACCTAAGGTCAAGTTCTATGTTCGACTATGGTCAGGTTTATTTGGTGTCAATAGGGTACCATGGTTAAGAGTTTGGACGTGTTAGCAATGCAGCCTCCCTTGAGGGTGTATGCCAACGGGCGGCTCCGCGAGTTCGTGATGAAATCGAACTCAACTCCATGGTTTGGGTGGATTTAATAACTCGCATGAACCCTTATTGTCATGAGCGTTTTTGGGTTGATAGAGCTTAAATCCCCCGGGGCTAAGACGCATGTAGAACACACATGTTTTTTCAGAAAAATTGAAGGAAGTTGACTGTGAGAAGAGAAAACAAGCCACCGGACTGATTTTAGGACTGTCGTGACACGGCAGAGAGCACCGTGCCACGGTGCTGCACACCGTCAGACGGTGTACTGCACCGTGACACGAAAGTCAGAAAATCTGACTAGTGCCCTGTTCTCCTTCGTACGCAATCAAGTTATTCAATTTTTTCTACGGCACAAACCTAAATGCGACGTTAAAAAGTCTATGCTTATGAAACAATGCCAAATTAGTCACAGGAATATTTTTCAAGAATCTTTCAAGTCTCATCCACTCATCCTAATTAATTAATGATAACTCAAATCGTTAGATAACCAAGAATCCTCCCCAACGGAGTCGCCAAATTATAGGCGTTGTTTGAAGTGCGCCTACGTTAAAAGCTTGTTGTGAATATGCTTGACACTCATAGGAAGTGGCAATTGACATTACGATTAGGGATAACAATTAGGGACAAAACAAAGTAGGGAGCCGCCAACAAGTTTTTAAGGAAGTTGTAAAGCGTTCACGGATCATAGAAAGGCAACCAAGATAAGGGACAACGAAAGGCAACAACGATTGACCCGTGAAGGTTACACCCCTTTCATAATCCATGATATTACTAACTCCATATGGTTGAGAACCATGAAAGGAGGATCGGGGATGATAGTACGAAGTGAGTCATGGAGTCACATTTGCCCGTATTGGCCTCTACTCGATTCTTATAGTGAAAAGTGATTCCTGTGATCTCAAAAGCATACAAACAAAGATTCCATTTGCTCCAAATTATTATTAGACTAAATTGGTTAAATATTAATGCAACACATAATTCTAAAATATCGTGATCACTTCAATTAACAACAAGATTAAAAAGGAACCTAAACTGGTTGTCCAAGTTATCTTATTAGGCGTGATTTTCAATTACATATTCCCTTTAATATGCAATATAGTGATCATAAATAATAGAATAAAAATTAATATTGGAAGCAATTTAACAATAATAACGTTATTCAAATCAAATATAAAGTAACCTAATCATGATACTAGCAATATTATAATAAAATAAGAGTAATTAAATTAATTAATTACTCACATTCTGCGCGTTCCTTTAAATTGCTACATCATGAATAAACTGTTAGTAACTTCAATAAAAAAATGTAAGCAAATGAAAATTAAATTAAATAAAAAGTAGAGTTGATTTGGTCCAAACCCTCATTTATTTGTACCTTTCACGCCTTGGTTTAAGGGGAACCTCGGGTTAAGTATCGACTCCTTGGAGTGCTTGAGGGAAGAATGGTGTAATTAGAAATATAGATTTAAGGCTTAGAATATGGGAGAGAGGGAATAAAATGATTTTTGGTGTAAAAGAGAGGAAGAAAGAAGGATTTGATGCCCCGAACTGCAGAAATGAGGGTCTTATTTATAGAGAAATTGAATAGAGGGAACACGCGGAACCCTAAAAAGATAAAAACCCTAACAATTAACACCGCGAGGCGGCAGAAAAACACCGTGACATGGTGCCAGGCATCGTCAGACGGGGGAAAATCCCGTGACGCGGTGGACAATTGGAGTGACACGGGAAATATTTGACCAACGGGAAGTGAAAACGCGTGAAGGGTTTACGTGGAAAAGACACGAGAAAATTCCGTGACACGGCACACATACCGTGACACGACAGTGTCCACCGTGGCATGGTACAGTACACCGTGTCACGGTATGGGAAAACGCGGAAATTCCACGGAAAAATCAACGTGACACAGTGAAAAATACCGTGTCATGACAACATGTACCGTGCCACGGTGAAATTTTACACGAAAAAATCTTCAAAAATGGCACCGTGACACGGTGAAATTTGACACGAAAAACTCTTCAAAAATCATCATAACTTTTGATCTGTAACTTGAAATAAGGCATATAATGTATCATTAGAAAGTTTATCAAGTCTACTTTCCAACACATTTAGAATAAGGTCAAAATACTTTGTATATTTTAAGATATGGCCGTTTTAGTGGAAGGGTATCGATTTTGGGCCGAGTTTAGTGTTTTGCTCATACCGTTTTTGTTATATCTAGGAATTGGGCTTATGATATATGATTGGAAAGCTTATTTCAAGACCTATTCAACAAAATAATAATTGGATCAAAATTATATAGCCATAAAATGACACTGTCCACAAATGGATCTAACATTTATCTATTGTCCGAGTTTAGAGTTGATTTGGTCCAAACCCTCATTTTTTGACCCCCTTGCCAGATGGGGAACCCATTGCTGTAATATTAGATCACACTGTATTCCATTTTAAAAAAGATGGGATTGCATGGGTAAACAAGGAGGATGCCTCTCAGTTCTTAAGAGGAGCGAAGTTGAACATATCAATTATTCAAGTATGCATGAGGTAATAAGCAAGCCATTGTGTCATTGTGATTACAAATTTTACGTTTATATACACCAACCTATTATCATAACATTAAGTTGATTTTGTATATCCAGGTTACTTAACAAGATTTGAAATCAAAAGACAAAGCTTATGCGGTTGGGTGGTTGTGTCCAGAGCAAACTTGTGAAACCAAAATCCGTAAGAGCTTGCATGAAATTCATGACTATGTCTTCAAAGCAGTAAGCAAATCAGTTGAAAATGGGGCAAAGTTCATTATGACACCTATTTTTCAAGAGTAAGTACGTAGGAACAAAGTTCCATATTGTGTACCACTTAAGTATACATACATGTGATGAATTTAACATTCTTACCTTTTGGCGTAGGGAACATTGGATGCTTTTGGTAATTTGTGTACCTACTTGCACTATTTATCAATTTGACTCTGCTCGTCTAACAACGACAAGGAGAAATGTTAAAATGAAGACTATTGTGAGCTTGTAAGTCTATTTTATTGTTTCTTGTTTCTATATATACATTATATGTATGACATACAAAACAAGTAATACACTTATAATTCTAACTTTGTTATTTAAATGAATAGTTTTTTCACGAGGTTTAAGCTAAATGGAAACAGTGTGAATAGAAAAGAACCTCTATGGAAACTTGTGAAGGTAAGTAAAGTGTATGTTTTAGATGATATCGTATGGAATCTATTTTGGTACCCTTAAAACAATTTTACACCTTAATCTGTTTTTTTTTTTTTTGAATTTTACTTAGTGTGCTCAACAAAGAGGTGGTACCAGTGTGGCTTTTACACAATGAGATACATGTATGACATACTCTCCAAATATGGTGAAGCAAATGATATTGATGAGGTATGAGTTTGACCTTTCATTCTTATCAACTTTTGTGTATATATATTCTGGCTACAATGGTTTATATACTGTCATTGGATTTGACAAACATTAACTTCATACACTGCACTAACTTTAGTTGTTGATGTGACATCATGGCTATGATGTAAACCCGTGTACAAATATATTACAACTGCTTTAATTGGCTAGCCATGATGATATTTGAATTAATTTTCTTTCCAGATCACACCATACTATTGTAAAGTGCCTTTTGTGAAGGTTGTTCTTTGGTGGGTTCAGTCTTCATATGTATAAATAAAATGTGGTTATTATAGCATTGTTGTGACAGATGGTTTCCTTAAGATCCTTGACCCCTTATATAACTTAAAACATGTGTCTTCACTGCAAAGTACATGTTGAGGGCTTACTGTGTTCCTGTCCTTGTTAGATTGATTCCTTTTTATACTACCCGTATAGCTGCATATTCATGAGCATGTGGGTATATGGAAGAAATTAGTCTTTTATAATCCATCACAATAAAACTAGTCTCCGTAGTCGCAAAAGTTTAGTCTCGTAGTCGCAAAAATTTGGTCTTGCAGTCGCTAATCCGTCGCAAAAGTAGTCTTAAAACATTGATCGGTGTAGTTTCTAATCCGTCGCAAATATATTACGACGAACAATAATTTAGTTGCTAAAATTTGAAATTTAGTCGCTAAATTGTAGTTGCAAAGGCGTTGCAAATCTGTCGCTAAATTTGCGACTGTTCAAAAATTAGTCGCAAAAATGGATTTGCGACGAGGCCTTTGGCAACGAACCAAACTAGTTGCAAATCCGTCGCAAATCCATTTTTGCGACAGATTTGCGACTACTTTGGCCGTCGCTAATTACCCTTTTTCTTGTAGTGATAGCAATCTGTGTGTTGGGGAGTGGTTAATGTATTTGAAATAAAACATGAGGTTTGGAGTATTAAGTTTATGCACTATCTGTTGTGCTCATTTGAAATTGGGGAGAAATCCATGCAGGGCTCCCCTTGATCTTTTAATGCTGGAACCTACAAATGTTATCATTGATGCCTGATTTCTGATTAGCACATCTCTTGCTCCCTTGCAGTTTCGATGTGGTTATTAATGGTATTGTAAATCACATAAAAGCATCCCCCCTCCTCTTCCTCCCTCTACCAAAAATAAGGGTCTTTCTATATCCTTCTGAGAGGTATAGGAGGGACTAGGAAGAGTGGTATAGACTCACCACTCAACTCAAGCAATGAAACAGTAACACACACAAGGATATAAGAGAAAGGCTTGATCTTTGATTAATATGGAGATGGAAATTACAAGCTACAGCTTATACTAAGAAGAGATAGCTAATAAAGATTTAATCTTGCACTAATCTATTTATACTGATAATTCTAGAATAACATCAAAAACGGTATAACCTTTCCATACTATACTCTCTCCTTTTTTTATATCAAGCATTCCTCCCATTCAGTACCCTAATACAATCATCCGTTTGTCTTCTACAGCCTATGTGGATTGCACAGAATTTCATACCTCCTCCCACAATTCTTAGTGGTCATTTTTTGTCTTGTTGTTGTTGTCATATGGCTGCTCTGCTTGTGCTCTGTACGTGTCCTGTACTGCTGATTTGTGTGCTAATTTGTGCCTTTGCGTATAAACCTTGAATGGCTGCTGCGGCTGACTCACTTGGTCCATAGCAAAGAGGTATAGGAGGGACTAGGAACAATGTGACACTAATTTCTGATGAAGTGAGTACAAATAAAAATATATCTTAAAATTGACTCTTTCATTCATATATAACCACTTTTGAACCTATGTGAGTCAATTGTTGTCCAAACGCCATTATTTTTGCATAAGTGAAGTATATAAGTGAAGTATTATTATTATTGTTATTAAAATTACTTTAATGACTTACGACATATATTTTATCATGCATATTGTGGTAATCTAATTTTGAGCCAATTAAAGTATTTTTTTCATAAAGTTCATGAATACAGGTCCTTCATGGGTATATTACACGTAAAAACAGAGGAGGTGATGTCGAAATTTTAATTTATTAATTATTTATTACCAAAATAATGGTTTTTTTTAAAAAAAATACTATTAATTAGCAACGCGTGTTACACATAAAGCGCAGCAAAAAAGTTATTATTTTATTAGTAGAATTTATTTATTTGCGGGGGTTAAGTAGAAATCCGCCGCAAATAAATGCATTGATTTGCAGCGGATGTCGCCGCCCTGGCATTTGTAACCATCCGAAAAACGCAGCAAATTAATTAACCGCTGCAAATAAATGTTTTTCTAGTTGTGAGGGGAACATAGTCACAATAGTTAGTGGCATAGCCATCACCAAGATCTGCACCATTCCCACCACCAACATTACCTTCAATCTGTTTAGGAACATGGGACACAAATCTCCGTTGATTTGGGGTTTATTTTTGCTCAATAACAGAAAAAATCAACAAATCAAGTTGTAAAAAACCCAGATCTGAAAATTTGAGATAAGAGATAAAATGAACAGTGAACAAAGCATTCCAGATCTTCCCTCAAAAACTCAAGGAAACTCGAAATTAATAAGGGCTTTTGTAGAGGGGACAATTGCGAGCATAATGAGCTCAATTCTGTTGAGAGAGTAATAATGGTCAAAAGTTTGGCTCGGAATATTAAAGCAAGGCACATGGTCCCAAATATTTGTCCACCACTTTATAAATCCAACTCAGCAAAAAATAGGATAATTGGGTCATTTAAATTGGGGGATGAGGGTATACTTGCCAAAAATGTATTCTAAAATTTTAAAGATTCTATAGTAGGCATAACATTTTGGGACATCCAAAATGGAATACAGACACGTAATAATGGGACGGATGTAGTATTAAAAAAATAATGACTCTTGTAGTATATAGAGTAGTAACTTTAAATACTTTTAAAATACACAAACTATTGCATCAATCCGGCGGGGTTTTGCTTTATACCAATGATCACTCCCATCGACGGAGTTGTTATTGGCGGTGGTATCGTCGAAGGTGAGAAACATGTTGATTGTTGATTATATTTTTCCATGATTTATGCATGAATTGGCTTGATAATTGCTTGAGATTCTCAAATATTTCGAAAAATGCCAAAAAAATCGACTTGGGTCTTTCTTGTGTGATGTATAATTGTTGAAATTTATTGTCCTATGTGATTGTATGTTAAATTGTGAGCATTTCGATAACAAATGGATGAATTTTGGTTGAGAAACGAGCATGTTAGCTTATACCCATAAGCTTAGTACAGGACCTTCAATGGTGTTCTCGCCATTGTTGACCTTCAATGATAGGAAAACAATTATTGTATTGGTTTACTTTAAAAATAAAGATTACTAAGTATAAAATATGTATAATTTTATTGATTTATTGTCTAGATGAGATCATCTAAATGCTGGATGATATCATGTATTGTGTCTATATATATATATATATATATATATATATATATATATATATATATATATATATATATACATATTCCTCTGTTGTGTTTATAATTTGAGTATGTTTTATGAGCTGGATGATATCCTTTATTGGCTACATGATATCATTTATAATTGTGTTTATGATATCCTCTATTGGCTATATAATATCATTTATAATTATATCTATGATATCCTTTATTGGCTTGATGATATCCTCTATTGACTTATAATTGTGTCTAAGATATCATCTATAGACTGGACGATATCCTCTATTGGTTATATGATATCATTTATAATTGTGTCTATGATGTTTAGGCTGGACGATATTCTCTATTGGCTATATGATGATATCTTCTAACAAAGTGTAGTATCCTCTACAAAAATAAATTGTACAGATCCTCTATCAATAACTGCATATCCTATAACAAAAAATACTCCCTACATATTTTTTTAAGTGTTACAATATGACCGACACATAGTTTTAGGCAATTTAATTGACTTATATAAAATAAGAGGTAAGTGGGGTATTTGGAGTATTAAAAAATTGTAAAAGAAATATAATGGGGTTAATAGTTTATTAAAAATTAATGAATGTGAGAGGAAAGATATAATAAAAAAAATAGTAGTGGGTTTGAGTGGTAACCATCAGAAAAGAGAGATATAATATTTTAATATAGTTTTTTGCCAAAAATTAAAGCGTAACACATATTAAAACACGGCCGAATTTGGTAAGTGTAATATTACCTCCGTTACAGGTTATGTACATCGATTAGACATTTTCTTTCTCTGCTTTATGTCAAATCGTTGCACATAACTTGTAACGAAGGCAGTGGCGGACCCAACCTTGTGCATGGTGGGTCAGGTGACCTAGCACAAAAATAAAGAAGTTAAAAATATTAAATATTACAGCTAATTAACATATGTGCTTATTAGTCTAGTGGTTGAGGTCTTACATTTATTTCTAGAGGACCCAGGTTCAAAACCCGCCAAAAGATAATATACTCCCTCCGTTGATATTTAATGGTTTGACAATGCATAATTTACAAATTACTACACAATGTTATAGTGGTGAACACGTATTCTTAGTTCACACCTGGTAATTTATTGAAATTAATTTTTATTCGTTAACTTCATTTCTCAAATCCTACCTTCTTAGTTGTCACTAGGTAATTTGTTAAAGTTCATCGTTTTAAATATTTTTGGTACTTTATTAGTGATTTGTCATTATCCGTCACAAATCCTTCTCCTCCTCCTCCTCTCTCACAAGATATTTAATATTTTTAGAGTGACTTGGTTTTATTAGTTTTAGAATATTTATGCATTAATTACTGATTTATATGCGGTCAATTATAGTATACCTTAAAATAATAATATAGTATACGGTCGGTGACCCAGCACCCATAAAATCCTGGATCCGCCACTGAACGGAGATAGTACTTATTAAAAACACAGAGGAAGTACATATCCTTAAAAAAA